CAGTTCTATTTCAAATGGCACTAAATGTTATAGTGATTTGTGTTTTAATTAATTATTATTTTTTTCTTTACCATTCACGGGACCACAGGGTCCCGGTCATTTGGGAGGCGTACGCGGGGCCGAAGCCAACTACGCAGAGGCCCTTTAGACAACTTTAATCTAAATGTAATGGAGACACAAACCGGCGACTATCCCTGTACGCACTATGGAAATGCACCCAAGGACAGTCCCCGGTTACTGTAGGACTATTGTGAATAATGGAAAAAAAGGTAGGGCTATGGATGGGTTGCTGCGGACTGGTAAATTGGGAACTATGGATGACTATGGCACCTGCCGAAACAATGTAATTTTTACACGTAAAAATGGCAGGCGGAGACTCGCCAACTCACCGACCGGGCCCCGGGAATGGTTGCTAGATATAGCAACAGAGGGGCAACGAGAATGTGAGTGGCTGAAGGGTTAAGAAACTACCACCGCTTTCTACTCAGATCATCTGCTCCAGCCGAAGCCTCCTGCATCCCTGGCCCACTCGCGACTTACGAATAGTTTCTTACCCTCCGAGCAGGATCACTGCTTCTCGCGACTCCACTCTGGACGGCCAATGAAGGCAAGCCAGAGGTGGGAGACCTGTTCCTTGTCATCGTTCACTCCAGCCAGCCAATTAAGGCAAGCCGGAGAAGAAGGAACGGTGACTTCTCCCTGGAGCACTCGGGATGATGGTAGCCCGCGGGATCGCTAATACCCGTCACCTCGCCTCAAGGTGCCCTGTATTATTATTATCTATACAATGTATATCATTGATGGAGTGTGGTTTACTTTTCATTTAATTGGTGGCTTTGCTTACGTTACAGAAAAAAAAATATCATTCCAGATTATAAATCTATCTCAGTCCCAAATTTCATCTAAATCCGTCCAGCCGTTTAGGTGTTATTAAGCAACAAATATTAACCCTACCTTTCGTATTTATATGCAGCAGGATTATTAATCTACATTTCGTTGTAACGAAACTATCTACCTATATCTGTGTATGTACACCTTTTCGTTTGCCCCTCAAAGAATAACAAACGTGATATTTTCCCTTGTTTATTTACGTAAACAAGATAAAATCAATTATCAACGGCTATTGATAGCCGTATGTCAGTAGAATCGATGAAGATAGAGTCGTTGTATAAATTCAATTAGATAAAAAAATTGATTAGATAAAATCAATTATCAACGGCTATTGATAGCCGTTGATAATTGATTTTATCTTGTAATCGTAAATAAACAAGGGAAAATATCACGTGTGTCAACACAACGAGGAAAAAAACCATAACAATGTGATAAAAACATGTTGAAATTAGTAACTCTAATGACTGTGGTATTTGAACCGTTATCTTTAGGGTTAATAACTCCCAAGTCATTGATACTTTAGGAGATAATACAACATTTTTTTGTTCTACTGACATACAATGAAATAGGTTCCAGATTAAACTGTAATTAGTATAGGTGTTGATTACTGTCACACTGTTTCAATAGTTTGAAAGTGCGTATTGGGAAATTAATAAGTTCGGACGATTTTTCGAGTCGTGAAATGTATTGGAATTGTGTTTCCCGACAAATATAACTTGGGTGTCTTCAAATCCGCAGTGAATAAGTTACTAATTGGTAGGCATGCTTCATTGTCGGCCACATCACCGCTTACCGACCTCATCGTTCGCTGCCTTGTAGTAAAAGTGCTGCCTTGTAGCCTATTTGCAGAAATAAATTCACTTGTTTCACCACCAGGCGAGATGGCAGTGAACGTCAAGATAAGAAGTATAAAAAAAATTTGAATACTTGTTCAATAATACAGAGACTTTAAGTCTTTAAGGGCTCAAATAGATATGCTTAAAGTAAATGTTCAGGTCTTAGTTAGAGGAGTTTAGGGTATATATTGGCTGACGGTTGACAAACGATGATCGATTGTATGTAGGTATTTTCCATAAGAAATTGTCAAAGTTCGTGTCAGGTAAGCTTACAGAAACTAATATTTATAAACAACTCTTATGACTGCCCGAAAATATGTGTTCATTAGTCCTTATGCACCTTTGGCATCGGTGAAAACCAAATCATGGAAAATTGAAAATAATGTTTTATATATGGTTACGCTGTATTTTAATTAATTTTTATTGTACTAAGCGGAACTATTTATTAAAAATAGTTCCGTTCCGCCAATTAATTCATTAAATCTGTAGTAAACAAATATTAAATTACGCAGGTAGTCGTTAAATCAGTTTTTCTTAATGTAATTATTATGATGAATACAGTAGATATTTATCATTTACTTTGTTTGGCATGTATTATTATTTAACACGAGTAAAATATGTAAAGGTGATGACTTGCATCAAGTTAGTAATTATTTACTACTACTGATAATTTAAAATTTAAAACACCCAAAAATAATAATTTAAACATTAGAGATCGCACCTTGATCCAAATATTGTATAGTCGTAACGTTTTGTTGTTAGTCCATGTGTAACATTTTTAATAACCAATAAGTCAATAGTTTGCAAAAATTTTAACGGAAAACAATCTTCAACCAGGCAACACAAGGTTACATATTTTTATTCTGGCAATATAGAATGTTGTAACTTGAATACTTTGTATTGACTAACAGATAATCTGTAGAAGATATCCACAGAACTACTGTAGCATTCCAATGTTCTCTGAATATTTTTGACGCTAGTTTATCTAATGTAAAATAACTACATTATGATAGAGCGAGGGCTGTCTATCATATGAGGTAATAATATACATTTATCGTTAATAAATATGGGTCCCGCTGTGAATTGAAACTGGTAGAGCTTTCCTCGTATATCTCATGAATTCACTATAGATATTGTACAAATTAACGTACATTTGTACAAAATCAATCTCTAATCATCAATTTCAGAAGAATGTAAATAATTGCCGTCTATTTTTTATAGAAAACTACAGTTTGACATTTTTATACCTACATAGACTATAGTATATTATAAACTGTAATAATTATGTCGTAAATCATTTTAGTTGGCAACCCTTTGTACCTACATGGCGGTGTCTAGAATCCGTATAATATTCTCATCAACAATTCAGAGTGTATTGTTTGATGCGCATGAGCATGCTAGAAAGTTACTAGTTTTGTAACTAACGCGCCATACATGTCATTAACATAACCATTATATGGGTGCTAACATATTTATTTCAAGTAATACATAACTTCCATAATTTTGAAATACTACTCATTGTTTTAAGTAATATAATTTCAGTTATTTAGTCCATGCCATGTAACTTAGGTATGTAAACCAAATATCTGACTAGCTAATAAAAATAAAAGTGTTGCAAATAGGTATGCTTAAAGTAGATTATCGCTTTTTTTGAGTCTTGTTCATCATCGTCATAAAAATCTCTAATAGAATTATTGTTAATAAACATTTCCTTCTTCAACGAGACTGACAAGTTTTTCAGACCAGTTTTTTGAAACATCTTAAATATTTTTTAATTGTATAATAAGTGATTCCACATATTGACATTTTTCGTAACAAAATATAGTACCTACTTAGGTACAATGTACTCTTACCTAAGCGACATCTAGGCGGACTTGTAGTTACAATTCAATATAAACACATGTGTTTGCTATCAATCTCGTAATCTATTTAGATTATGCCTAATTTAATTTGCTTTTAGTTTTTGGAAATTATAGACTTGTATTACCCAACGTTTGTTCAAACATTGGTTGGGGTGAACCGGCTTCTCCAAGTCTCCAATCCATTTCACACATCATATTGCATAGTGCAACTAATACTATACTGTTCGTTATGGTACAGCGGTCAAGGTATCGATGAGATACACTTTCAATGCCCCCACATTGCGGAATAGAGAAATTCTAGATGTGCCCGCGACGATATCGCGGAAATAGGAAACTTATTGGTCATTTTAATGTCGGTATTGTGTAGATTCTACACTGTAGAACAAAGGTGAATACCGACTATTCATTGTTAGTTAATCCATCAATAAATACACGGAGGTTAAAGTTGTTTTTCTTTAAACTTTTTATTTAATATTTGATCACGATCAGCCACAGATAAATAGACAAGTTAAATATGATAAAACATAAGAAAACATGTGTTAATCCCCGAATAGAGTGGTAAAAACGCTTAATTAACAACTTAAATAGGAACTTCCCTGTCGTTAAAACCTTTTTAAATCTTGGTATAGTTTGAGTTTTACTAGTCAAAAGATGACAAGTAAATAAAAGTGACATTAAAATATTGTCGCAAATAATAAGCAAAGTATTTTGTATTACGGGGGTGATACTGATACTGTTACTACCCGCCTCGCATCTTTAATAGTTATTTCACTTTTACACGGCGCGGTAATTACTAAGCATTGCCAATGTCAATAGCCCATAAATGCATGTTTCATCACTTCACTTCTTGCGCCTGTTTACATTAGAACGTTTTCTTATCTATTAGTAATTCTCAAGCATATTGCAATGAAATCGGATGTACGGCGACATAGAAATAAATAGCTGCTAAATATTTAGACCAATGAAATAAATACTAATTTCCTATATTAATAAGAATTTAGATTGTCGGTAGAGGGCGCCCTAGACGAACATATAGTGACCAGATTGGAGATATATTAAACTGTCAAACACCAAGCGGTCACCGGTGACCGCGACCTATTGTTCTTTAATTGTGTCTATAAAACCTCGACTACTCGACGAGTTAAAGAAGGGCCAAATTAAAAGTACCCTTAACCGACGTAAATGCAAGAAAAGATTGATGACTGTTCATGAAAGAATCGTAGTAATTGGCGTTCCCTAGTACCCCCATGGGAGACAGGCGTGAAGTTATATATGTATTTAATAAAAATGCTACTTTAAACTGTCAAACACCAAGCGGTCACCGGTGACCGCGACCTATTGTTCTTTAATTGTGTCTATAAAACCGGTACTTTTTCTAATTTCCTTAATCACGCTTTTTTTGTTACAGATAATGTTAAGGAGAAAAATGCTTTTATCATTGACAACACTGGTGTGCGTAGCAAACGCAATAGTTCAAAATGCAGCTACAGGCAATGAAATTGACTCATCACCGAAAAAATCACAGACGAGTACTGGAGGGCCCTTGTATCCTAAAGCAACAGAAACAAGAGACTTACGGACACTAGACGGGATATGGAACTTCAGAAAATCACCAGCTGATCCTGAGACTGGCTACAGAGCCGGCTGGTTCGAGCAGGATCTCGACAAGGTAATGTACCTCACGCACATAAAAAGTTACTCCGATGATATCATAAGCCACAGGGCGATACACCGGAGTCGTGTTGGTATGTAGGTGCGGATACGTATGTAGTGCACGTTTACAAGTACAAAACCTCCAATTTTGGTATCTATAAACATAAAGTTTCAAGTAAGGAAATTATTATAGCTCCTCTCAATAAATTACATAAACAATATACTTAATTCAAGGGTTGTTGCCTCCGGCTCGGGTCCATAATCCGCTCACGTAACCCTTTATAAGTACCAAATGAGTAAAATAAATAAATTGCAAATCCTAAAAAATATTAAGGTCCGTTCTGGAGTTATGGTCGATGATTGCGGATATATTGCAACCTTTAAATCCACCTACGCCAAATCGACAACAATAACTACTAAAATGTTCTTATAAGCTATATAAATAAGGTTTTAGCACCCCTAAAACACTTTCAATAATTTATCGATGAAATACGTATCATATATTTTAAGAAATCAGATTATATACCCCTCCAGTTATCTGTAAATAATTTTCGCATAATAAATATAAAGTTCCTACTACCATTATTTACTTTAAAAGTGCACAATAAACTTAATGAAACTAGATTCTTTAATATAGATGGTATTTGTGATAAATAAGTACAATGTTGGATATTATTACGACACTAGGTATGTACATTCTTAGTATTGTTGGTATATTATGTTTGAGACAAAATGTCAAATGACTAAACTAAATATATCGTGATAGATTCGTACTGCAAACCTGTCGACCTTGGCGCCTATGCGTTACTTTACTAATATAATTATGTATGTATTCTTTGTTAAATAATATCCAAAACTTGTTTACCGATAACGTCTTTGTATCTGTTTATTATTATTATGTATTCTGTTGTCATTAATTACATTGTAGGTTATGGAATCTATGGCCTCCCTCGTCATATTAATGAGATTATATTTCGATGATGTTTACAAATATCAAAAAGACGTTGTTTTTAGACACTATTCCGTCGTGTTAACATTCTATGTAGAATAATCGTTTATGAAAGAGATAATTTTTAAAAAGTATACGATATTTTATGTTGGCAATAACAATATTTAAAGATGGGCACGTGGGTGAAATAGCGGATTAAATCCAATGTTGCAAAAAACATTTAATCTTTGTGTAATATAACAAGTTTTTGCAACAATTACTTCACTCTTACACTTTCATTAATCTGCTGAAGCATGACGTATGGAAGATAAGTCATGTGAAAAATAGTTTAGTATCCAAGTACCTCACTCAGTATCTGTACCATCAGTTTAAAAGCTAAAGTATTTGTGTGACGTAAATTGTTGTATGGCAAATTTTTCAGCACCTCTAGCGATTAATTACTTAAGAAATTTTAACTTACTGCCTTTCATATAGGCAGGTACGTACCGGGACTATTATGTTTTGTATTATTTGCGTAGTGCCCTCGCCTGTCCGTCTGTAGTACATAAGATATTTGACCCTGCATTCAACTGACGTCGTGCAATATATTTTAACACGTTACAAATCAGTTCGTCCTTTGTTCCAATTTTATAGACATAGGTAGAGAAGATTCATTAATTTTAATAAAAGCCTAATATACAAATATGCAGTTGGTGAATGAAGAACGATTAAGTGTTTTGATTATGTGACTCAAGTGTAAAATTGTCTTTCTAGGCAACAACTGACCTAGGTTAGCCTAAATACTCACATTTCTAAGAAGAGTTATACCTACATCTGAACATTCAGCTAAATATTAATTACCATAAAAATATATCCTACTTATTTCTTTATCTCAAAAGTCTTTTATCCCTCTAGAATTTCGTAAAAAATGTGTTTACATAAAAAAATGGCATAAACGTAATTATTTTGTACGTCTTCAACAGACTGGTCCTGTACTCCAAATGCCGGTGCCCTCGTCGTACAATGACGTTGGTGAGGATGTTTCTCTGCGTGACCACGTAGGAGTAGTCTGGTATGATCGGCGGTTCTTCGTGCCCTCGTGGTGGGGCACTACTGGACAACGAGTGTGGCTGCGATTCAGCAGCGTACACTATGCGACTGAAGTGGTAAGAATTATATTAACTGTAGTACAACTTAGATTTACTAAGGACAGTATAGTCCCGCATAAAAGTATTCCCTATACTTTAAGATCGGACATTGAAAGATAAGAGGCGTAGTGTTAGGGTACCCAGGTCTAAAATTTGACTTATCAAGTCTTTATTCTAGAAATATACCAAATAAAGACTTTATAGGTAAGACAAGACCTCTGAAGACTAATAAATAAGATAGTTTCAACTAAGCAGTTCCTTAATACTGAAAGAACACAAATACGTTTATTTTAGCTACATTTCTCCTTTAGCGTTCATACATTCGATAAACCAAGCAAACCGCATTGTTAATTTAAGGGATTTACGCTAACGGACGCGCTGTGCAGAGCGGCAGTTCGCACGATTAACATATAAACGGCTCCCACTAACTATTTCATCTTTTAGACACATCCTTCTTGAGAAAACACATGCCCAAAGAAGTGTTGAATTTTAAACAGTCGGTCCCACCGTCCCAGTACGGTGTGCATAGGAATTTCTTACCAAATACACTCATTGCTTAAGTAAACGCAGAACTTCTAATGGAAGCTTGGAAATTAGGACATTCTTTATTTATATCTAGATTCATATGCATCACAAGATATTCCCAGAGATATCATTTTACTGGTAGGTAACCTTCAAACGTGTAAAATTGTAATGTTTTTGTCTTTATCATCTGCTTTTAATTTGGTTTTGACGTAGCTCGTGATGACATGTGAGAAGATTTGGCAATGTCTCGCAATTTTTATTAAATAGATCCAAAATGAGAAATTTTTATTTTGCCACTAGGAATATTTTAATTGTGATTTCTAGCTGAATGGACCATTAAAGAGTTTCGAAGTCTACAGTATCAGTAGACTAGTATCTGACACTGATTTGTAAACGAGTAAGATTCCGATAACAGCTAAGGAAGGAAACGAGTACCTACACAACTACATTACCTATTCGAAGCGCACATTTCGTGTCAATAAATAATTATTTTCACACCTTTTAAATCTACCTTAGCAACAAGAAAGAGGCGGGGTCCGCAATGAACCGGTGGCTACTGTTGTAGTAGAGGTGTCGTTGTCACGAAGCGGTCTAGCGATTGTAGATAATTGGACAATTTGTCGTGTGTCGTGTCACCAGTCTCGCGAGTTCGCTCTCCATTGACCCGGCGCGATGCCTGACCGGCGATCACTAACACCTATCACAGATTTTAAAACGAACTAAGCTTTTGCAAAAAGATAATTTTTTTCTTTGTACCAATCGATCATAATCAGTTTTTTTAAGAAACTACATCATCCCATTCTATATTTACTCCTTCCGCCGTGGGTGCGGTTATAAACATGCATATCACACCCAAACATAACACACAACGCTGCGCACATCGCTATTACAAAATAACTTAATTAGTACTTATGTAGGTACCTATTACCTACCTGACAGTCAATTTTATCGGGAACTTGTAGACACAGACTAACAGTTAATGTTTTAAAGACTTAACACAGAATGCTCGCATGTAATTACAGTGCAGCTGTCAACTCATTAGTATTGATTGATGCATTTGATTCCAGTAATACTTACCTTGCAATCGGCTACTACCAGCTTATCCCATTAAAATGGATCCTCATGGAGCCTTCCCTCGCTTCAGCTACACGAAGCAAACTATAAGACTCTAACTGACTAAATCCACCCGGGTGTCACGTTCAACAAATACGCGTAGTCAGATCACAATCTGCCTAATTTACGTATCGGGCGTCGACACAACAATCGTACTAGAGGGCAATAAGAATCACTGACCTCACTTAACTGATATTACTCAATCAACTTCCTGTCGACCGACTTGTCTACTAGACTCGTTCATGTCAGCCGCTGTTGTTCTGCGAAAGGTAATTCGAAGGTTAAATCGATTACATAAAGTGAAATGTTTGTAGGGTCTTAAATCCCTATTGAGTAAAGTATTATACTATCTATATATTCGGTGATATTTAAATTAGATTTCGAGTAAAATGTGTAATTATATAAACATGTGTCATTTTTTGTTTCCGTATAAAAACATGTCCTATCAAGCTTGCATGAAAAATAATGGTAACAGTTGATCAAACAGTCTGACTCATCATGTAACAAATTCTCTCAACCATCCATCAGCTCTCACGAGTCAAAATAAGGAAACGAAACGCTTTACAAGGAAAAAATGTACTCAGATTACAAATACAACATAAATCAGTAGAGATATTCATTCTACCGACCTATACCTGTGGGAAAGCACAGTATATAATGTCAAGCATCTCAAAGTTACTGCCCTGTAGGCGATACCTCATTACATGACAATGATTTGTAAATCAACCACGAGGCGACTTAGTAATGGCTCCTATAAAGTGGGACATAAAGATCCAATTTGCAGGACAATGTCTCCAGAATGTGGGTCGAGTGCGCACAAATCTGGCTAACATAAACAGATACAAATCATTCAGGACAGGACACCTACGGGGTCAGGTTTATATCTGTATTTAAATTATATGATAATGAAACCGAGGATTAATGGATATTAAGTTTCAGTAGTTAAGTCCTGTTGTGGTGAGAGTTATAGCATAGGTACTTTCTAATACTGATCATTTTGAGGAATACCTAAAAGCAATTTGTTTGAAAAATCACTTGTAAGTTCTGTTAATCAAAGACACTTCTTATAAGTACAGACAGTCTCTGTCGGCTCTGATATATCATTGGCAAAAAAAACATGTACTTAGCTTTACAAGGTAATAAACTTGGATTTAGTTTTCACGGAGCACGTATAAGGTACATTCAACTTATCCTTAACATAAGTGACAAAGGATAAATAACAAGCAAGAAGCTCTTCGATACATATAACTAACTTTAGATACATACGAGTATTTAACAGAATCCATATAAAATCCCCCCGATAAGGTTCAAATTACGCCCTTGTTCTTACGTTGAACTTTGTAGCGGGTATATTTTTACGTCGCCCACGTGAATCGTGAGGTGAATGCGCTCAGCTTTTGTTGAAATTACCCATATATATTCTGATCCTGTTAATGTTTTGTTCAGCTTTATTTTTTCAGCTGAAAATTAAAGAAAATGTTTATACTGAACCAGATCACATTTAGCTGTATTGTTTTGGTATTTTAATACATAATCTGGCGATACAGAGGTCAATTAAATTATCTGATAACAGCAAAAAGTCTTCAGTACTACACAATAATTATTCACTATCCTTGCTATTATATAGACCGATATGAAAATATTGCTACACTTCTCTATTTCTTGTCGCAATTACATTTGATAATACAAGTTTTAGAGTTCAATGTTGGATTGCTAAAGCTTTGTTGAGCTTGTCGTGTGAAACCTGTTCGTCTACTCCTCCCTTTTGTGAACAACGGGAATATTAATGTTGAAACTCAAACTGATTACCTAGTATATATACATAAGTATGTATACGAATAAGGCTTACTAGATATTTGCTACTACCGCGCGGTTTCATCCACTCTGCTCGGCACCTATTTATCGAAGCGTGATCTTTTATAGCCCCCCAGAATAATGTTTTTTCAAATCAGACGAATAGTTTCTGAGATTAACGCCTTCAAACAAACTAACTATTCAATTTTTCATAATTCAATAAAAAAGTATAAGATTGACAATTCAGAATATCAATGGTTAACTAAGGCAATAAATGAGACACGATTATATCTTCAAAGTCTTCATTGCACAAGGAGAATATATTAGAAATTGATATTAGGAGCGACTACACGCACACTTTAAAACTATAGATAAGCATAGATACTAACCTAGCAGACAGACTGACACCCGCTGCTAGCCTAAGTACATAATATAGTTAATACTTTTACAAAATGAAACAAAGTTCTTATCTTCATACCTAACTTGTAAATGTACTTACAAAGTCACGACACTCACAGCTTGATTCCATTAAAGATACCGCATCATTGAGCAATGTCGACAAACAGCCACTAAGTATTATCATATCTGTGTAAATAAGTGTCAATATAAACAGCTTAAATCTATATAATATTAAACGTTTGTTCGTCAATAAACGTTAGGTACGCTTTTAAATTTACGCAAGAGATTCTAGGAAAAAGACTAAGTAAATTAAAAATGTAGAAGGAATACTGAATGCTGTATCATCTAAGGACGACCGAACATTGACTCATTTTCCTAACTATATTTACATATTTCAAATACATAATAAAGCAGTCAAAGCCGACAACCGTTTTTTTTGTGGGGTGATATACTCCAATTCTTTCTCCCGCCTTGGGTTAGGCGAGAGGGAGTGTCAGACTCATTCTGACTTAAACCAGCCCGTTCCTACTCCTGCTCTAAAGCCAACAACCGTTGACAGTCTACTGCTGAACTTCCACTCTTCATCATAGGGTTTTCCATAACCTTCACATTTAGCAAGTTTGTTGGAGATCACAGTTTAAAAGGTTCCGCCAGTCACAGTTTAAAAGGTTCTAAAGAGCGCTTCGGCCCGGTCTTGTATGAAATTATTAAAAAGCACTGCTGCCCAGTCTCTATCAAATGTGTAGATACTTGTACACATAAACACAAACAAACATAATTAGTTCTAGTTCATTATTGATGTATGGTAGTTACCACATAAGAATACAGAACGGTTACAACAAACCTAAATGACTATAAATATTGTTGCCGTAAGAACTTCATTTGTCTTTGTTAAAACAAATGGGTATTGCAGAAGTCATTTGAAGCATTGTACCCGTTACTTACCGTTGTTTTTTACTGTTATGGTAAATATTGTAGCACAATAATATTGTTATTTGATATGACTCACACGGACATAAATAAAATGTTGGGCACATGTTCTGTTCTCAGTTGAAGAGTATATAAGATATAAGTAATTGCTTGATATTTTAAATTACATAATGACATGCCTACATTAAACTTAATAAATTATACGACTCATTAATTTTTATCGTCAACAAACAACTCCAAGAATTTCTAATCATTAAAATGATAAAGCTGGAGAGTATTTTTATTTGTTTTGATAAAACCTTAAATCGTGGTCACGAGGTTGCAATGCGCGACTGGTAACTACAATGACTGAAATACGATCTCCGAATAAAACAAAATATTATTCATTTTCAGAATTCTCGGTATTAACTTGGAGTCCGGAATAATGTCCAGCATATGATTCGTCAGTATAGCGTTAACTAGAGAAAAATGTGTATTACTTTTAACATAATACGCAGATCGATATATTAACTGCAACATACACTTTGTAACAAACATACATTAGTAACATTACCTTTAGGCATGAATATAAAGTATGATGATCTTATGTCAACTACATAATTATGTTTTCTTTTACAGTTTATAAACGGCAAATCGGTGATGTACCATGAGATTGGTCACTTACCTTTCGAGGCTGAAATCACAGACTTCGTAAATTTCAATAGCAGTAACCTGCTCACAGTAGTGGTTGACAACACGTTGCTTAGCGACACTGTGCCTCAAGGAGTTATCAAGAACGTTTATGTTGGGTAAGTCGTTTTTAAGGTAATACTTAACTCCTTCATAAAAAGTTCGGAAACGTAATTGACACACGACAGATAGTGTTACGAGTGTCAATGGGTGGCGCTCATCGTTTTAACATTATATACGATTTTATGTCAATACTATACGATTTGCGCGACTACTGGTCAACCGACTCCCACGCAATCTATTGAGTCGCGTCAACATTTCCCGCATGAAAAATAATTTCATAATTGAATGACCTACCTACCTACGACTACGGTTGCAATAAGTACAGTTTTGTCAAGACATATGCACATTTTAGGATAAAATATTGCATTGGTAACATTTGCGTGAAATTTTAAGTTGGTAAGTAATCAGTCGTCCAGACGATCGTTATCGTTACGATCCCAAACGTAAGGAACTCTGTGCATATAACAATGCATCATACTTCGTATCAGGTACATTTATAGGTAAACTACACTATGCGATGTAGTTACCTTGCACTTTCCTTTGTCGACGCACCGTGGGAAGCGAGACAGCTACTTGTTATACAAAAGATTTAAACGCGTTTACTACTCGTTTTAGTACACACTTTAATAGAAACCTATACTTACCTAATACCTTCTACTCAAAGGTGTTCGCTTTTTTCTCCTCTAATGGAATCCAAGACGATATATTCATGTCCCTGAGATGCGCCGGTGTTTCGTTGTTTTCATGGTTGTATGTACTGTAAATCCCAGCTGACAGGAGTCACTGAGGTTTTAGAAGTTTGTGTTGAGCATGTTCCAATAAAATGCTTACCTTCTACTTTAAAATTTGAACAATTAAATAAGGCATTTTATTTTATTTTTGTTCTACAGACCAAACAAAATTCGTCAAGAACAACAGTATACGTTTGACTTCTACAACTATGCTGGCATTCACCGCACTGTGTTCCTCTACTCTACGCCTCAAGTTTACATTGATGACGTCATCGTCAACACTGACATACAGGGACATACAGGTACGTACATACTGTTTGTTTAAAGAAATAATTTTTATGACTTGTAGTCTCAACAACACAATAATTTTTCTTATAGCCCGATATGACCTAAATTATAGTTCTGAGCTGTACATCTTCATTTCCAGGTTTTGTAGTATACAACGTAACACAGAAAGGTGCAGCTTCAGACAAAGTTCACTGCTTAATACAATTATTTGACAAGAATGGTACCCAAGTGGCAGCATTCAACGAATGCGCTGGACTACTGGAGATCGGGAACGCCAACTTCTGGTGGCCTTACCTAATGCACCCCAACCCTGGATACTTGTATACCATGAAGGTAAAATGCCTAAAACATACTTTTCCCAAACCCTAAGATCAAAAATATCTATTGCAGGAGTGTCGATGATGATCAGAATAAATTGTTAAGTTCGTCATACTTTACTACCATACCTCTTGCCTGAAACCAATAATTTGCCCAAAAATGTCCATGTACAAATCTTTGCATACCTGTGTGGGAAAACACATGCTTATAAAAGCCTATTTACCTTAACCTAATAAGTATCTACTTTATTTACCACAGGAAAGTTTGTTTAAGATGATTTAAATTCAGTTTTTTTAATTGCATTCGTTCATGGGTGGTACATTAGGTGTTAAATAATCGTCGAACAGTTTTAACATGAAACTCGGTTAGGTTACGGCAACACAAGTATTACATGAAAAAATAATGTAATCAAATGAATTTACTTATTTTATTATCACATAAAATATATTTTCATTCCAAACATTCGTTGATAGTCAACTCATTGCAGTTACCTCTATTTTAAAAAAGCAATATGATGAATAATACTCAAACACAATATTTCCTTAATTGTAGAGGATTTGGAAATCATGTGAAGCAAAATTATTATATATCATCAGACCGAAATAGAGTATTTTCCTCAATAAATGTAAAATTATTTCCTTAATAAAAATAAAATTACAAGATGTAAATAGGTAAGATTTAGACATCTGCTTCGGTGTTTTCCGGTCCTGTTTGAGGAATCTGAGGACTCATTATCCTTGGTTATTTTTAATTTTGTAATATATTTATTCCTTACATTTAGCAGCATGGGCATATAAAAACTACAATCTACCTTTTAAGACTAAGTAAGGTATGAATACTTACAATTTCTCTGTTTTCCCCAGGCATCGTTAATCGGTCCTCAAGGTGACACCCTGGACACTTACTCCCAGAAGATCGGCATCAGGACAGTCACGTGGTCAAACACTACCATTTATTTGAATGAAAAACCCCTCTACTTGAAAGGGTTCGGCATGCATGAAGATTCTGATGTAAGTTTATTTTACTTTCATACATTAATTATCTAATATTATTGCATTGCCTTCGGCACATAGATTATAAATGTGGTAAAGAAAAAATCATAGACACAACGGGGTGCTTGTTCGATCAGCTTCGATTAAGTAGCAAGATCTTTGGTTGCGTATAAACCGAATAGAAAAACGTGTGTCCAATTAATTCACATCTCTTCAATGTTTGAAAAAATATCTTATATTTTCCAGTTAAGAGGTAAAGGCTGGGACCCCGTACTATGGGTGAAGAACTTCAACCTCATCAAATGGTTGGGTGCCAATGCGTTCCGAACATCTCATTACCCATACGCTGAAGAAATCTACCAGCTCGCTGATGAATACGGCATCATGATCATTGATGAGTGCCCCAGCGTTGATACTGAGTAAGTGGCCCAATTTTGCAATTAAAATGCACTTTTATGACACGAGTCCCACTTCGGGCGCCAATAACCAAATTCCTTTTAAGCCTAGGAATTCTAGCAAGATTTCAGTTTTTAATGGATGCTTATTTCTTTCCAGTGGATTCTCTGATACGTTGTTGGCAAAACACAAGCAATCATTGACAGAACTGATCAGACGTGACAAGAATCATCCCAGTGTGATCATGTGGTCCATTTCTAACGAACCAAGGTCCGCCAACAAATTGGCTGACAGATATTTCGGGTAAGACTCTATACAGAAAGATACTGTTTTACATAATGTAGCGTAGATCTACTTTTAATAATTTTTAAATAATTTGTGTTCAGGGAAGTGGTACGTCACGTCAAGTCTATGGATCTCTCTCGGCCCGTCACTATCGCTATTTCTGCCGGCGCTTCTACTGATAAATCTGTAAGTAAAATAAAAATATATTACTTTTCACAACGACGCTTACACATCAAAGTTTAAATATACTAAAATACTATTGCAAAACTTTGTATTTTCAGTATTTCTTCAAGTTCTTCACTTTAGCAGAATATTCTAATTTTAATATTACTTATCATAATTACTGAATAATCAAAAAATATAATTTCCAGGGTCGTCATTTGGACGTGATCAGCTTCAACCGCTATAACGGATGGTACGCGAACCCCGGCCAGACGGCGCAGATCACCAGCAACGTGGTGGAGGAAGCCACCAACTGGCACCGCATACATAACAAGCCCGTCATCATGACTGAATATGGAGCTGATACTATTGCGGGACTGCACTTGGTGAGTTCCTTTATATCTAAAACAGACGGTCATCTAATTTGACTTCAGTGTACCTTTACAATATTAACGATTAGAGATCAGTTTTCGCACATGTTTAGTTATTATACCGTTAGGGGGAAGCTTATTATCAACACCAGAAACCAACCATCGTAATATAGAAATAAAAATCTTCAACCATTTCCAATTTGTAACTATAATTGAGACTTCCAAAAATGTTGGCGTAAAATATAGTGTTCTGGTACTGACACTGGTAACTGGTCAACTTTTTTCAGGTGAAATTGTCGAGATTAGAAATTAATTTCTGTAATTTTATATTTCAGTACCCTGAGTACATCTGGTCGGAGGAGTACCAATGTTTGCTGATCTCAGAACACTTCAAGGCATTTGATCTCCTACGGAAGGCTGGATTCTTCGCTGGAGAGTTCATATGGAACTTTGCCGACTTCAAAACACCGCAATGTTAGTAAACCTCCTTACTTAATTTAACAGCATTTCTATCGTACCAGTCGCCTAGTGGGTTGACCAAAATCCAAAGAAATTTCTCAAGAGAGAAACGTAAAGTTGTGGTTGTCTTAATATTGCTTAGGGACGGTGGGCAAAGGCCCCAAGCGTCGTCGAGACCGTCTGCAGCCACATGTTCGTCACCTCAAATGGTTGCGCTGTAAGCGACTGACTTCTTTCTTAGACGATTGACTATTTGAATGCAGTGCCGTAACTAGCTTAACGTGACTAGTAGGGCTACTATAACTGTGCCCTTCTAAGAGATCCTGAAGTCTTCATTAGGGTCTGTGGATCTATGCTTGGGCACTGCCAGTTAGTAGCGCCCTAGTTATGGCACTTTATGAATGATTCCTATTCTATTTTTGTCATGGAACATGGTGGTGGTCTCAGATCCTATTATGCCTGTGATCAGAATGCATGATATTGAAGAATGAATCAAACTTTGCATGAGCATAAATGTCTTTCTACGATTCCGTTAGCATGTAAATATTTTATCAACAAGTGACAAATACTTAAAAAATAATTATTATCCTAACGATATTACATAGGTTGATAGGTTACGATATTAACTTATGACAAAATGTTTTAAAAGTCACCACGGTCCATGGTAGGCTTTTTCATGCAATATTTTGAGAGTACTCATTCAAAACCCCCGAATACACCTTATTTACGCAAAAAGCTATCAACCTTGATTATCTTATCCCAAACATTGTGAAAAAGTTTTCAACTTTTTCTATCATTTCAGCTTCTACTTTCTGTAAATCTACAAATTTTCACGCAGTTTCTCCTTTTATATTGGGAATTAGGAGGCATCCATGGCATGATTAATCTTGCATTACAATGAAACACATCTATAGCGACATCTATAATAGCAATACTGGATTTTTGAAACAATGAAAAACTATCATCTTTATTTTTAATTACTGTTTAACTATAGATTTTTTTTTCAAAAAACAGCTATAACACGGGTGGGTGGCAACAAAAAGGGTATTTTCACGCGCAGTCGGCAGCCCAAAGCGGCCGCCCACCACTTGAGGTCGCGGTACCACGCGCTCGCAACATCAGACTATGGCGTCGTACTTCCAGAGACAACGTACTACATCAGCGACGCACAGCCAGCCAAGCACGAAGAGCTTTAACTTTTGACCTCTGCCATAATAACCACCAAATGTATGTTACTATAGGTTCTACAAGTACACAGATAATTAAGTTCTTTATGAAATATTTTGCACAGATAAAATCCCTTATAAACTCAAAGCGAGAATGCAAGTACATGTAAATAACTGGCAAAATAGGTATTTCATAAATAACAATTATTTCATTTAGTTTATTTTGTTTCAATTTAAAATGTCACACCAAATGAGCAAGCGACTGATTTTTATAAAAGTACTTGCTCTAAACGATATTGTGCCACAAAGATGCGACCATGCATTGGTAGTATTGGTACTTAACAGAACTTAGCTCATTTTATTATCTTAATTACTTAGTGTTTACGAACTATGTAAGATAACATGACCAAAATATTCTACTAGATTATGTATTGAATTATTAATAACAATGTTATTTTTAGGATAGAATTTATTTTATACAGTACAACATCATTTTCATTTTATAGAGAAGAAAGTTGTTAGAATTAGCCCTAGTCTAGGTCTATGAATTGTAAAACTGCTTACCAAGCCACTCTGTCCTTTCAGCAAAAAAATAAGTGATTGTATTTCCATTACACATAATCGGTAAAGTTATCACAAATATACCTACACAAACCATAAACCATGGGGCCCTAAACTTGCATTATACCTAACTATTTTCTTGTTGTGTATGCAATAAGCGTGGTACAACTCTACATAATTTAGATTTAGATATCGTAAAATTTCTATTATTTTAAGTAGTTATAAATATTATAAATGAATGAAATGTAAATATTTATTGTAATGCAAATAAAGTACAAAATAAAGGCGATCGTTATTTCCTTAGAACAAACACAACCGTGTACGGTATACCTTTCATTCCTGAACCACTTTGGATCCTACACTAATACCTGTAATGTATATGAAGCGATTATGTGATATTATGCTAAAAAAACATATAATCTACTGTATCAGCGCCTACCAAATATATAGTTAGCACCTACCATCGATCGAATGGATTAAGGACATTGTAACAGAATCGAAGCAATGAAATAAGACGCCTTACTGTAATTAGTATCAATTTCATTGAAGTACCTACTATGTCAAACAGAATCGATGCATTTAATTCAAAGAGAAAAATAATATATATGTCGATACAAACTACAATCAATTCTATAGTTCATTATATTTCATTCCTCAATAAGAGCAGACAGACCTTTTTTTTGTAATTCATCATTATTCGTTTATTAAGCAAAAATCGTAATAAATAACTCTAACTTTATTTCTGCTATAGTTATACAAAAAAACCACGGAGTTTGGGTAGGTACGCGCCAGCGCGTTATCATTGTTTTGGCTCTGTGACATGGAAGTATGGAAATGAAATTTGCAAGTTACAATCATAACACAATTACAAAGATAACACATATAAAGTGAGTATTTCAAATATGAACAATATTCAAACACAATTTCTCCTAGTTAGAGCCAAAAGCGCAAAGGGCTGGTAAGAAGTTGGGTATCCTATGGAAGGTGAGACGGTACTTCACGCCGAAGCAATTGCTGAGCCTGTACCAAGCATAGGTTCCGTCTTGTATGGATTACTGCTCTCATCTTTGGGATGGTTCGGCCAAATATTAGCTGACCTCGTTAGAGCACATCGAGAGGGGTGCCAAGAGGCTCATCAACGATGATGCGCGTGTGGAGGGCCCGGCTTCAAAGCCTCGAACATAGCTGTAAAGTTGCAAGCCTTTCAGTCTACCCGAGCGTACGGCGCGTCGCGTACCGCGCGCGCCTCAAAGAGCCGTCAGACCACCACAGATGGGGCCCAACAGGGCCGATGCAGATTCGGAGTCGCTAAGAACCTAACGGGTAACCAGGGCTCCGGCTCGACGTGCAGGAGAATGAACGGGGTGGTTTTTAGTCAGTAAGAGTCTGACACTCCGTCCCGCCTCATCCGTCATTCGATAATTTTCCCCCTTAAAAAAAAAAGCCTTTCAGTCTTCTACCGGATACGTTTCGGAGAGTGTGCGGGGGAATTATACAACTGGATTTCCCCTAGTCCTTTCCATCATCGTTCCATAAGACAATTGGCGAAGCGTCACCGATTCATGGTAGATGTCCCACCCACACGCACGAAGCACGTCGCATCAAGCTTCTTTTGCGAACTGCTAAGGAGTGGAATTCTTTGCAAGAGTCTGTATTTCCTGACGGGCTTCAAGGCCCGAGAGAATAGGTTGCTTATGGGTCGACGTGCTCCATCGTAGGCCACATCATCGCTTACCACCTAGGCGCTTACCTACTCTTGAAACCAATCTCATTCAATGCAATTTCAATCCAACAAAATCTCAATAATAATTATCAATGATGTCAACACTATACAACCACAATCGTAGCTGTTAAAATAGCATTCAGAGTACGGAATCTAAAGCCAAACTCAATATCATTTAGTTTATTCAATATCCACGCAATACGGATGCAATGGGCGCTAGTGTTGCAACTCAAGAGTACGAAATTTCACAATATCAATGTCGATTGATCGGAATTGGATTCAAGAGTAAGCCCTCAGGCGAGATAGTGGTTAAACGTCAGTCCAATTCCCATCGAATGCAAAATAAATACTAATATTCCCAAAGCAGGAGTTGGAACGCTTACCCTGTTTCCCCCTATTGTTATATTACCTTTTTTTATGGGATAAGCCGGTAAACGGGCAGACGGATCACCTGATGGTCGCCCATGGACACCTGGAACACCAGAGGCGTTACAAGTGCGTTACCGGCCTTCTGTATTAGGAATTTGAGGATTGTTGGGGATTCAGGGATTGAAGAAAGAAGGAGGAGGGTAATTGGGCCTCCGGTAACCTTACTCACACAACGAAACACAACACAACGTTATTTCACATCGGTCTTCTGTGAGGCCGTGGTATCACTCCGGTCGAGCCGGCCCATTCATGTCAAAGCATGGCTCTCCCACACTTAACAGGGCACACACCTAACCAGGGCATGATTCGACGATTTTCCACCTTCCCTATAAAAAAAACGCTTGCTTCGGGCATAGGCTTCGGGTATGTCGTAAAAGCCACAGTGTCAAAATCATAAAAATAATAATGACAATGACGTACCTAACTTTTAACTACCTAACTTGTTCCTAATGTCAGTGTCATATACACGTGTGATTATTTTGTGTTGTTGTTTTGAGTTACCTGCTTTAATTATTCTAGTCTGGTGAACATTTCGTTAGAAAATAATAATTATTAGACACTCTATTAAATAAGAAGAAGATATCTATTGTTAAAATGAGTTGTACACACTGCGAACAAATTGCAAAATATAAATGCCCCGTATGCAGATTGCCTTAGTAAGTGAAATTGTTAATAAAAGTTTAGATCACTATTTTAAAAATGATTTTGTACTAATTCCGTGATATCATGTTACAGTTGCTCAGTGCCGTGTTATAAAATTCACAAAGAAACTCCTTGTAGTCCGCCACAAGAGCCACCTAAGGAAACATGTTATTCAAATACTAAAGAAATAGAGTATGATTATCCTACAGAAGACACAGTGCCAGTTGAAAAATTAAAACTATTAGGTAAGTTTACCATGGTATTTTTCTAACACAACATAATAGCCATGATTTAATGCAAGAGCCCATAGTTTTGTTTATTGCCATAAACATGGAACACACAGACAGTAAGACGCTATAAAAATCGAATGAAACTACTGGTTACTACCGTTACCTGACTAAAACTAAAATACTTAATACTGTTCTTCAATTAACTTTATCATTTGTAACATTTACAGAGCAGTCAACGGAATTGAAGAAATGTTTAGAAAATCCTCATGTGAGAGAGATATTAGACTTACTAGACCATTCTCCATATCCAGATGAATTGATGAAGAAATACATGCAGGAGCCTATCTTCACTGAATTTGTTGATGCATGTTTGAAAGTCGTGCAACCACAGAGTGATAATGATAAATAGGATTATGCAATTAAATTATTTCTAAAATAAAAACTTTTTTTTTTATTTCTACCATTTGATCTAATTATGGAATATTTCACATTTTTTATAGATGTATTTATACCTAACATTTTATCACATTTAGCATATAATTATGACTTTCAGGATTTTTTTCTTTAATGCCCTCTTACGGAAAGTATGAAGTCAATAATAATTCCATGTTACTAATATTACAAATGCAGAAGTTTGTGTGTATGCCTATTGTTCAGTCACGTCAAAACATGATCAGGATGATATTTGGAATAGGGTTAGATAATGGTATGGATGAAGCCACTAGCAGAAGCTAGTTATAAATTAAAACTTTTATTTATCTTCACTGAAACTTTTCTGGACTCCTCGGTCTTGGATTCTGAGATTGAGACTGGTGACTGGTGTATCCTGCGCCGTGACAGAAATGCGCCCTGTGGAGGCGTCCTACTAGCGGCGCGGGCGCCTCTCGTGCTTCGCAGGAGACGAGAGTACGAAACCGAGAGCGGCGAAGATTTGTGGGCGTCCTTTACGTGGCATAGCCTTGCATTCTTAGTGTGTGTTGTGTACATCAAACCTAGTGCTAATGATGAAGATTACATGAGTTGGTTTTGCAAAACCGAAGGTTTCATACATGACTTTAAGGGCTTTGTTGTTATAATGGGTGATCTTAATCTAAATAGTGCATCTAATAATATCACTAATTACTACTGCTACTTCTTGTCATTTTGTTCTTTAGTTGACAAAAATGATATTTTAAATGTTCATGGTGGAAAGTTGGATGTCATATTAGTCCGGGAAGGTTTTCACGAAGTGTTTGTGTCTGGCGTTGATGGTATTGTTCAGCCAGATACATATCACCCTCCGTTGGAAGTTGAGGTAAGAATTGAATCAGTTCATTGTTCGAATGTTATGGATCCTAGCAACATCAACCCTTTCAGAGATTGGAACTTTTACAAATGTAACTACGAGCAACTGTACTTGTTATTATCAGAGACATCTTGGGATCCTGTTTTGCGGGCCGTTAGCGTTGCTGATGCGGTGAATGCCTTTTATCATATTATCTACGATACTTTTGATACTTGCATGCCTAAGAAAAGTCGTTCAAGGAAGGTAACTAAGCGGTACCCTGTATGGTTTACGTCTGACATAATTAAAGATGTCAAACGTAAGCTCATATTGCACGCTACTTGGAAGCGCTCTAAATGCCTTGAAGACTATAAGCCTTTCTCAGATCTTCGGAGTACCTTAAAATATCGCGTTGCTAATGCATATCAAACGCATATCAAACGTGTAGAGAATAATATTAGAGTAAACCCGCGTGAATTCTGGCGACATATATCCAGTTTGAGATCTAAGTGAGGGTTTGAACCGTCGGTGAGCTACTGTGGCGATAGTTACAGCGGTACTGCAGCCGCGGAGGTTTTTGCCAAATTTTTTGCCAGTGTGTTTTTGCCGGATAAACCACTGTTAAATGTCACCAGCATTGGTAATTCAGACACTACCAAAAATAGCAATTACATAAACATCTTTCAGTTCTCGTCCAAGGATGTTTTAGATGGGTTAAATAAACTTAAAGTCAGTAGTTCCGTAGGCCCGGATAGTATGCCACCCACTATTCTCAAGCATCTCAAGAATTCGTTCGTTTCTCCTTTATCCCACATATTTAATTTATCACTTCAGACTGGATTTTATCCCCTCCAATGGAAAGTGTCGCGCGTGACGCCTATACCTAAAACGTCGAACAGGACAGCTGTAGAGGAATTCCGTCCTATTGCTGTCTTATCGTCACCTGCTAAAGTATTTGAAAATGCTCTCCATAAACTTATATATGAACAAGTCGAAAAACATCTTAACAACGCACAACATGGTTTTAGATGTAGGAGATCCGTTGAATCTAACTTGTTGACTTTGACGGAGTATATTTCATCACAGCTAGATAGACGTCATCAGGTTGATGTTCTATATTTCGACTTTCGAAAGGCATTTGACCGCGTCAACAATGATATCTTGCTCGCGAAACTTTATGCATAGGTATTTGCCCTAACCTATTACGCTTACTGGCTGACTACCTTCGTGACCGTCAGCAGTATGTGAAATTAGGAATTTACGAGTCCAGCACTTACCACACTCGATCCGGGGTAAGTCAAGGCTCAATCCTTGGCCCCTTACTATTCCTTCTCATGATCAACGATCTCCCAGATGTTCCCAAACACGCAAAATGTCTTCTGTATGCTGATGACCTAAAACTCTACACTTGTGTCAACAGCATATCGGATTGTGAGGCTGTTCAGAGGGACATAGACCTGGTTTATGATTGGGGAGTTGCAAATAAAATGGATTTCAATCCTTCTAAGTGTTACGTCATGACTTTTGGTCGGGGACGGCACCCTATCACCTTTGATTATAAAATAAATGGTTCACCTATAACCAGATCATCAAGTATGAGGGACCTGGGTGTCGTCTTCGATCAGAAGTTGACATTTCACGATCATATCGCCACGGTTGCTAAGGAATCATTCAAAAGACTTGGATTCGTCTTAAGAAATTCAAAAGATTTCAAGAATGCACACGTGATAAGACTCTTATATAATACTCTTGTCAGGAGCAAACTGGAGGCCAGCTCCTGCATTTGGAGTCCATACGAGGCATCTTATTCACTCCTACTTGAAAAAGTTCAAAAGAAATTCTTGAGGTTCCTCTACAAATTTTCTCTGGGTTACTATCCATACATGTATCCAACAAAGTACCTTGCAGGATGTTTGGGATTTAATATGTTGGATACTAGAAGGGCATACAATCAACTTCACATCACACTAAAAATCTGCAGAGGGATCATAGATGCTCCTGATCTCCACAGTGAGCTGATTCGATTGTATGCCCCAAATAACTACATACGCGCCCGGAGGCACCGTCTACTATCCGTGCCCGCAAGTCGTACCGTGGCCCGGGCATCGTCCCCCATTCCTCGCATCCTGTCCACGCTCAATAGCCTCGTGGAAGCCTACCCTGACTGCGACCTATTCATGGACGAGCTTAAAGCTATTAAAAAGGTTTGTCTCAGTTTTTGTGAAAGTCTCTGAAGTCTGTGTTGAATTGTATAATTAAATGTTTTGATTTCATTTTACTGTGATATTTCCTTTTTGTCATTTACTATTGTAATTGTCTAATTTTTCTTTATGTTTCTTAATTGAATTTTAATTGTATTTTTTGTTTTTTTTTTTAATGTGACGCTTACTTATGTTTCATTTTTTTTTCTTTTTTTTCTTCTTTTTCTGTTATTGTAACCGTTCGATTCTCTTTGATTTCTCTTTGTATGTGTGTTAATGTAATTGGTGTAAAGCCGTGTTAACATCACAATAATAAATAAATAAATAAATAAATAAAGGTAGTAAGTATAAAAAAATCACATTTTATTAATGTAACAAATAATTTGTTAATTTCAATACAAAAATACATCCTAATCAAATTCGCCCAAAGCAGCTCTCAGGTAATTTTCAAATTCTAATGACTTCTTGTTCTTTTCCTCTATTTGGCGTTCCAGCTGTTTGACAGCTTCAACACAGTTGTTATACTTGGATATATTCTTATCTTTCTCCTTCAGACTTTGATCAACTAAAGTGCGATCCTTGTCTTCTAACATAAGGTAATCTAGTGAATCTAGTTCTATTTTACGTCGCTTTGCTTCAATGTATAAATCGATATCATCTTCATATTCTACAACTTTGTGCTTCATTTCATTTATAGCACTTACTTCATAAATCCATAATGCATTGCGATAATTTTCTAAAGCAGCTTTCTCATAAATAGCAAATCTATTCTCGAAATTATTCAGTCTATTTATTTTTTCGTAGACAATTATGTTCATAAAGTCTACAAGATTATAGTGAGCAAAATATTTGTTGAAATCTTCACATGGCATGCTAATATCTGAGAGTTCTTTAGGTAGCACAGCTACAACTCTACACACCACATCTTCAGGGTTTTCAAACCAACCTATCTGATTGCAGTAGCTATTCATCTGTTCCTGCATGCTTATTGCATTCATTGGTCTAAAATTCAGTGATGGGTCTGGCAATTTTAGTTGATTCATGATCCTTTTAATTGCTGAAATGTTATCCGATGTTTTTGCACTACTTGGTATAAACTCGTATGGTTTTGGATAAGGAGATGTAGTGTCCAAATAAGGTTGAAACTCCAAAGGAAATGATGAATAATTAAATAAATCTTCATTTGTAATGAGGCTTGTCAAATTATCCACAGCTGTGTTGTAACATTTCACCAATTTGTACAAATCTTTTATGACAGTGGACATACGGGTGTCTTTTTCCAATCTCAATCTACACCATATCTCATTACCAAGATACCTTTGACAAATAGATTTCAAATGATCTATTTCTAATGGTGGTAACTTGGGATATTTCTTTGCCAACCATTTCATTGCACTTTTAGAAGACACATTCAATGATTCAAAGACATTCTGTGAATCTATAGCAAAGATCCTGTATGCTGATATGACATTGTTCCTTACAAGATTTGACAAAACTGTATCAATTTGCAGTTGGACATGGTCCAGTTTAGGAATAATGACGGCGACTGGGACCACCTGGTATGGGTATTTGTGTTTGAGTGTAACATTAATTGTTTCCAAGAGATCATTATCACATTCAGTTGCATAGAACAGTAGGGCATTTGCACCTTCAATGGCCTCTGTACCATCGATTCCTTTATCCCGTCCAGTCAGACTAACTGATATAGCAAAGTCCATCAAATGATTCCATGACTGTTTGCTGACATGTATCAGTGTATCAGACACTTCATGTTGTTTCTTATCACTGAAAACATCCAACAACCATTTTTCAATATTAATCTTTCGATGTAACCATTTGTCGACACCAGGAGATACCAAAGTAACTTTCCAGAAGAAACATTTGTCATATGGATAACTTATTTGTTTCATGCGCTTCAGCAGAGGTGATCTTATTATTTCCATAATGTTATATGTTTCGGGGGTAGGTAACTGTCGAAGCTCCCCAGCGAATTTATAGCCTCTATGGATAGCATTCATGTTCCTCAGAGCAGCATTTTCAACAAAACGTTTCAAATATGAAGCTTCTTCCAGTGGTGTATTTTGCGGCAGCCAAACAGGCGTGTCTTCTAACAAACTTCGTCTTTTTATGTTCCTTGTATAATGTTTCCTCCATACATGAAACCATTTTCTCATAATTCGTTTGGTTAAAAATATTTCGGCTTTCAATTCAGATTCACATATTTCGTTAGATATATTTAGTAATATTTCATCATTTACTGTATTTGCAAATTGCATCAAATTGTTAAACTTTTCCAATTCCTCCTTCAAAATACTAGTAACGGTGGGATTGTTCACTTCTTTGATTAATTCTTCAACAAGTTCTGTTGATTCTTTTTCAACTCTTTCCTTGAATTTCTTTTCTTCTTCAGCTTTTCGTTTCAGTTCTGCCTTCCTCTCTTCTTCTAGTTTTCTCTTTAGTTCCTCTTGTTTCCTTTGCTCTTCTTTTCTTCGTTGTTCCTCCTGCAGTCGAAGCTCTTCTTGTCTCTTTCGCGCTTCTTCCTGTCTCTTCCGAGCTTCTTCTTTGCGCCTTTCTTCTTCTTGACGCTGCAGTTCCTGTTTTCTCATTTCTTCTTCCTTTCTTATTTTTTCTTGCAAAAGCCTTTCTTCTTCCTTTCTTATTCTCTCGGCATTAAGACGTTGAAGTTCAGCCTTCTTTTGTTCTTCGTCTTCATTTTGATCGAAATCATAAATCGAGTGACCCTCGTTGGTTATTGAATTCAGTATATTATCCGCAACAGTCTGCGCTTTGTTTTTACTTGGAAATATTGAATAGTTCTTAGTATCAGTACCATTAGGCGGAATGATAGCACTCTTGAAAACGCTAGTAGGCGACAACTTGCCAGCCGCGGCTTCACCGTTAGTAAATATCGAATTCGATTTTTCTTCAGGATTTGCAGGTTTGGCAAAAACATTGGTTTGCTTTGCAAAACTACCAAATATGTTGGCTGGTTTTTCTTCACTTGTTGATGACTGAGCAGGCTGATTAAATATATTTCCGCCTTTTTCAAACCCGCCTGTGTCACGTTTAGTGGAAAATATACTTTTGTTAGTAAATAATGGTTGTTTTTCACTACTTTTATCTTCACTTGGTGCGAACAAATTTTTAGGCATTGTGTCTGTAAACAAACCTGAGGGCTTTAATTTTGTTTGCGGTTGGAATACTGAATTTCCTTCTGGTTTTTTAAACACATTTTTATCCTCTGTTTTTCCTCTGAAAAGAGGCTGCGCATTTAGGTCTTTGTTAATTTTGCCAAATATGTTATTTGGCTCTGGGACAGTGGTGGTTTCAAACAAACGTTTGACTGTTTCTTTTCCAGTAAATAAATTGGCGGCGACTGGCGTTTCTTGAGGTTTAGAAAAGGAAAATATAGTTTTAGTATCCTCACTGAATATTTTTTCGGGAGAATTCTTAATAATATCTGATGATGCAACTGGAATCGCAGGTTTGAATAAAAACGGTTTATTTTCGGTAGATGGTGGTAGTTTGGAGGTCATAAAGATTGGATTTGCAGGTGCACTAAATTTAGGTGCCTGCTTCGGACTTGTAGATAGTATATCAGGTTTGACGAAAACGTTCACTTTGTTCTCAGGAGGTTTATCCATAACAATTGTTTTTCCTTGAGATAATTTTTGAATCTCTGCCTTTAGAGATTGTATATCTTTGTTGCTGTCATTCAACGTATTGTAGCCTTGATCATCAGCAGTTAGCGCACTTTCTTTTAATCTGCCATCGAAATGAAAACTTGTATACAAAGTGTGACGACTGTATCCGGTGTCCGGGAGTTGGCCACCAGCGATGATTTCACCAACCGTAACTTTTCTCTTAGATTCGATAAGGTTTATAGCTCTTGAGATGGGATAAGGATCACTATCTTCAATGAACTGATTTCTATCCAGTATGATTGTCACTTCACCATCACAGTCTTCAGTTCTGGCAAATCTCAGGCCATAATGATTGATGAATGATTTCAAATTCTCTATATTTTCAAAAGCAAGTGAACTCATCATATCTTCGGCGGGGTATCGAGACCCACCTCTTGGAGCGTACGCCTTGACTATTCTAGCGAGAGCTCGTGCACGTACATCATTGAAGTACCGCAACAGAATACAAGCTTGAAGATAGTTCGCTTCTTCTTTGACTAGTCGGAAGAATCTCACGTAGTTATTATTGTCAATAGCATTGAACACTTTGATTGCAAATATTATAGGTGCCGATTTCTGTATTTCTATTGGCAGCTGTTTGATCTGCAAATAATAAAAAGGATATTTATTTCAAACAATTCGATAAAAAGACTAATTAACTTATTTTAAAAGTAATATGAATGAACTGACCTCCCACCAGAAGTTAGCGTCCCCTAAATTGAGTAAAGCTACATATCCCCTGAATTCGGCTTCTCTTGGTTTTTGTTCTGGGCCCACGTCGGCATACATGTGTTTAAGTGTTTGTAGGCATTTTGTAAGATTATCAGTGTTCAGCTTTTGGTCGAACTGAGTGTGTTCGAGGTCCGCAAGCCTTGCAGCACAGTGCGCATGAAATCGTGCACACATTTCCACCAAGCAAATTGACTCTGAAAATTGTAATAAATATATCAATTAATAGGCAATTGCTTGTCGAACAACTGTAGAAAGATACATCATTTTGTTTGAAAGTGTACCTGTACAACACAGAGCCTGCTGTGTTATATCCTTCCTGATGCCACGAAGTCGATCCCACATGAAATGGAACCAATCAGCTAATGAGACCTAAAAGATATACACATTTTATGTATAATCCAATAATAAATGACATTACTACTAATATAAAACCTAAATCTAAACAGTATAACACAACACAACAGTACAACAAAAATACAAGATTTGCATGTTTTTCCTAAAGTTACCTGGGTTTATCTTAATGCCATTACAGTAAAAGCACAAGCGCATCATTAAATTACCCACCTGTCGTTTAGTATCGGCGATTTCATGCAATAGATAAGCGCAGGTGCGCATAAGCACTCGCGCGGGCCTCAGCTCGTAACACATTGGTATCTCCTGGTCGGCGGAGCTACGACTGTATTGTTTAACAGCCCGCCATGGCTCTAACTCTCCATCCGAATCCAAGACGGTCTCTAGAGTCATCACCTGAAAAGAAAATAATTATACAGTAAGATCCACAAAGACTCTTGACCTATAACTTTTAGAATAATCATTGATGAGATGTGAGATAGCGGCGAAACGCCATTCAATTAAATATTTAAATAAAAATTATAGAGTATGCTGTATCTTTACCTGGTGTTCAGATTGCCTTTGTAATAACTCCTTTTCAGGACACATGTCCTGGCAAGTACCAATAGTAGCGCCGCCTACTTTGATACGGGACCCAGCACCACCCCATGCACGCAATATTCTTGAAACAAAAACAAAGACTATAAGTAACTCCTTGAAATTTCCTATCAGAGTAAATAAAACACAAATTGTAAGTTTACATTACAAAAACAGAACTTTTTATTACAATCATCAAGGACATATTTCGTTGACTTATTATCTTAACATACCTTACCAATGAATCAATTCCTCAATAAATAATCAATAATTCATACTTGTCATTCTTGTCATGTTCATACAAGTTACATGATATCTTTTATGAGATTGTCATTATTGTGTAATAAATATTCGTAGATCTAAATATTAGATTTAATGTTATTTCATAAATAGTTAGTACCTGTCTCTTGCATCCAATATTCTCCATTTATCATCAGGAGTGGTTGATATCTTAGAGCGCAGTTGAAACAGTTCTGTGGCAGCTTCTTGTGTAGTCATACTTGTTTGTGTGGTCACCACTGCCACTGGAGGTTCCATCACACTTACTGCTTGTGCACTAAAACATGAATAAAGTAAAGAATTAATTAAGGGCATAAAGAATAGTTATGTTCCGCCAGTAGCTATAACTGCCATATTTATATCTTAACACACAGACAGACAGACAGCACACTTTTTTTATATATTGCAAAATAGGTAGAAATTGCTTAAAAAATTTAAACTTACACAGCAGGTTTCTTCACTCGTACTTGAGCAACTTTCTTAGTCGGCATCTGTTTCAAAGGTCTGGCTGTTATTCTCATTTTAGGTTTTGGTTCAGGTACCACATCCATTGCTGTAAACAAGGAAATACAAAAATCAATGGTTACGTCATTGGACCGTTGTTGATGATAAATAATCTTTTTGATTATTATGATTCATCATTTCTTTGTTCCAGCTCTACCAAGATTGAAGATATAACCAAAAATCATGAAAAAAGTATGGACTATAAATTCTGTATGTACGCGTACATTTCTGTCGAGTCAGTCTATATGTTGGAGTAGCACCCATAGCTGATAGTTCCTCCTCAACATCTGAATCAGGCACCCAGTCAGGGTCATCTTCCTTCTTAGTGCTGCTATGTCTCCGCCTGAAATACACACATACCTATTAAAATATAAATTTTACTAATGTAATAAATGTGAAATTTTGTGTCTTTGTATTAGTATGTATATTTGTTACTCAATCATATCTAATGGCTGAAGGGGTCAGGGTGAAATTTAGAACAAGGGTAGATTATGGTCTAGAATAACAAATAGGGTGATTTTTATGATTATTTATGACAGGTATTAATTAATTATAGTCCACAGTCAACTAAGACAGTATAATGTAAAGAAGCATAATAATGTTAAATACACATGCTTACATTTTCATCTTATTGCGAGTGACGTCAAACATGAATCCATCATAAGCACCAGCATTTAGCACAGCTCTTTCTGCAGAACTTGGTTGATCATACTCAATAACACACATGTGACGTTTAGGTACCAATTTTATCTTCTGCACTCGGCCAAACTTGCTAAAGTGTTTTTTGGCTGCAGCAGCATCAAATAGAGACTCCGGAACATTTGTACACCTTAAATGACATGCAAGGATTTGTAAAATATACTTATTGGATACTCATTACTTCAACCTTTTTACAATGAAGTATGTGTTGGTTTTACAAGATTCTCATATATTTTATAATCACTACAGGTGGTACGATCGACGTAGGTATCAACATTCTTATTGACTTTGCGTCGGGTATATCAACAAATAAAATGACTCACGTGATTGAGGTTTTCGGATTAGTGACAAACTCTTGTGGATTCAGTTTTTTACGAGGACTAGTAGCAGCTTGCATGTTTATTCCTCGTACTTCTTCAAAACACCATTAGAAAATTGTTATTTTTGAGCAGGCGGCAGGTCACAAACGAAATACACGAGGTCAAAGCATCGTTTCCACACTACATTAAATTATGAAATCTTTAACTATTTTAATGCGACACAAAATGTGTAATTTGATTTTTAATTTTTGAAATGTATATCACGTATGATAGAAATAAAAACAAAGTACTGGGCACATTCTCAAAATATCAAAATATTAGGTGCACTGATGAATTGAACATTTGACATTCATAAATGATGACAGGTAGCGTCGTTACTCGTTCGTTAGACTATCGACACTTGACAGTAGTATGACAGTAGAGCTATACGAATAATTTAGTTTGGATGTTTAGTCGATTTTAGCCTCACCATAAAAGAATTTTTATTTTCGTTTAATTGGCAAGGACGTTTAAAGGGTTTTGGTTGGGTTCTTAGTTTTGGAAGGTATTTAAATTATTCGAATGCATTTTATGTAAATACTATAAATGAAATTATATATTACATTTTTAAGGCAGTTTTACTAGACTCGCGTTATCTTAGTGATCTCCTTTACTACTATGATTTTATATTATGAATAAAATCTCCTTTACTACTATGATTTTTTATATTATGAGTAAATAAATAGACTAGATTATAGTGAAGATTACGAAAAATATGCTGAATGAGTACAAATAATCATCATTACGCTTTTTAATACTTTTCAAAAAGCTAGATAGTAGAGAGTGAATTTTCCTGATAAAACCGATAGATGTCAGTATGATCGCAATTGTAACGAAAATTATCAGGGTCAAATCAGGCCTAATATTTAAATATTATTTTGTTTATGTTTGTTGTACCTTTAAATGGAAAATAGATGTATTTGGATTTGCTAACATAAACATCATAGTTTTCATACCCTGTTAACCAAACTTTTTATATGTGATCGTGAGCGAGCACACGTGCTTAATGAAGTGCAGTACTTTCGAGAAAAGTACCTAAGGTTTATTTATAATTTATATTAAAAAATGCATGTACCGACTTCGTACAGCTTGTAAAGTCATTATTGTATACCTATTCATTATTATGAGAACTATGGCGGTTATACAAACTAAATAACATAATTAAGTAATTGGTGAAAAGAGTGTGGTTTGGTTTAATACCTTTTCCCATACTAGGATTTTTCCTATCTCATGCCGTGGGTATACAAACATACAAGATCACATATACATGACACCCAAACCTTAACCCAGAACAATCTGTGGATCAGACAGAGTTGTTCCACACTCGAACCTGCGGTACGTAGCGCAACAGTCTGTTGCTCAACCACTACGCTAACCAAGCATTATATATTATTGTTATTATGAGTGCATGAAAAAGTGTGACGTCATAAGTACAGGTACTGGAAAGGCTTTTTTTGAGGAAAATCATCTTCTTCTTCGAGACTTCTCCCGCCTTGGGTGAGGCGAGAGGGACTATAAACCACCCCGTCCCTACTTCTGCTCTTTAAGCCGGAGCCCCGGCTCCGTGGCTCCACTGGAACGGCCTAAGCCTAAATATTTGAAGAAAACGACATAGGTATTACCATACTTATAAGTAATAGGTAGGTATAACAGACTTAGGTGTAATAGGCCTAGAGTCGTGTGCACTGGCTTATAGACATATTATGTGACGACAATCGTGCTGTGACCGCAGATGATGTAACCACATTCCGTCGCGCAGAACGAGCGCTGTAGTTCCGGAATAATGCCGGATGTACCTGTCACCTGTCACTTTCTAACCATGTAACGTTATTTTGGCAATTTTGGCGTACTAGGCTGTTTTTGCAACCGCCTGCCTGTGTGTGCCTAGACCCTGTCCAATGACGTACTTACTTACCGAGATATTTACACATATAGATCTTTTTATTTAAAATATATAAATCGTTTAAATACTAATATTTCTTTTATTATTATCATTACTTCTGACAGCGGCTTTGCCCATGTTCACGTGAAATAAAAATGTGTTATTCCAAAAATCCACAAAATAATCAGGATCAGAGACCAGATAATCGGTAGTTTTGACGTGATTAAGCGACAAACACATACAAACTTACAATCTTTCGCAATTTATAATTTTAGTAAGACTCACGTGTGAACGAAAACGGACCCAATGATGTTCCCTGTGGTACACCTGCATCAACTTAGCTCACCGTTGTTAGTTCGCCATTGCAACTCTGCTAAATAAATAGCAAATTGAGAAATATTGGGCAACCGGGTAATGAAAGTGTGTTTTTGATAAAGTCATAATAAAATCAGTTTCAGTGCAATTCATAATTTTATAACAATAATTATATTTATTTAACTATTACATAATTGTCTCAGCTAAGTACAAAATTATTTCAATTCTTACCAAATGCATTGGAACATTCAATTTGAGAATCGAGTTCTCTGTTCATCGATATAATCAGTTCGAATTATAATAATCCATAATTGGAGTAGGAGCTGTTTAGGCGTTTCGATGGTGCTGAGTTCGGTGATTCACCTCGGAGTGTGACGTCATCGCTATAAATTCGGGTGTCACATTCCGCTGGCAGGCGCATGCGGTTATATAAAAGAAAGTGGCGCGGCCGCGCGGCGACCTTGCTCGGTGAAAGGCGTGGCGCAAGTGGCACAGCCGGAACTCGCTCTTCCCACGGACCGATCCCGCGCCTCTCGCCCGCCATCGCCATGCCGTTATGCGCTCGCGCAACTTTCGGTAACCGGTTTGGTGTTGGCGAAAAAAATGCACTAGGCACGATTGGACCGGTGCCAGTTTAGAAGATTCGGAGCGGTGGACATAAAACACGGAATTTTGCAAATGATTTGTATCTTTGTCTACGCGGAAGCTTGTTTGGGAACTATCATCTTGAAATATCTCCTTCTTCAAGAAAATTGTCTATCTGCAAAGTGCAGAATGTCGCGTGAGCCACATTATTTGAAATACTGTATTTGTCATTTTTATTTCTAATTAGTATGTTAATGCTAATGAGTCTTTCGGGCCCCTATTAGTTTATTTTTCCACAGAATAACAACCAACCCGTGACTTGCCTGCAGCTCAAATTAGTTTTAGGTGCCATGATTAAGGAAAATGCAAACCTCAAACTGGCGGAACCAACAGGATACGTCATCTATCGATCACACGCTTTCGCCTTAAGATGTCGATAAATTATAAATTATTTAGTGGAAATTAAACCTTCACGGATATGTAGTCAATGAGAGAAATCTGCAGCGACCTTGGTGTGTTACGAAATGCTCAATGAAACACAGTTTTGTGGTGATGACAAGAACTTGTTTGCAGCATGATAATATGGCTATGATAATTTAGGTTGAGGGGTACTACTAAGTACATGAATTAAATAAAAGATGATAACAAAGAGAAAATTGTATAAAGTCGCATATATTTCTTTGCCAACGGTTCAACAGTATTTCTCTTCTCTTCAATTCACTAAGTGCGACCCGTCTAATGCTTGCTGCAAAACCTCGCGAACCGAGATATGCATATGCTTTGTTTTGAATTTATAATATTTTACAAAAAAATAGACTAAATGCGCCCAAGTACGCACAAAATGTAATGGGAAGAACAGTTGACATTACCTCGTCGATTACAAATGCATAGCTAATAAAAATTAGGTCCGTGACAATCGTGCCGTGATTAAACCGTGGATTAATTTTAAACCACAACATTTAATCTGCAAATGCATCAATCTAATTTATATGGCATAAGTAACTATAAAATGACTGCGAGCGACGGATTCAGAACTTGGAACATATAAAAAGGTCACCTACATGTCCGTGCACGGAATGCGAGCAAACTTTTGATTTAAACTCGCATTACACAAAATGCATTTTTTGCAGTGACCGTTTAATTAACATTTTTATTAAAAGAAGGCTGTACGTTTCGACAGAAGAGGCTTATAATTGTGCAAGTGAGACGGAGTATAGCGATGTTCATAGTCGTGCTGGCCTAGAATTCAGACAATTTCCGATTGCCACGGTCGGTCCGGGGCGGGGAGGCGGCATCGCCTAGCAACAGATAGACGCGATCGGCGCACACGCTAACTTACTTGCAGGGAAATATGACTTTATAGTGACCCCGCAGCTCAACTGTTTCGCAAATAAGTATTGTGAGCGAAATGACAGCATTAAATAAAATCACATCCTCAATAAATACATCGTAAAATGTTAATGAAATAAAAAAGATATCATGCCACATATGTTTAATCGACACTGCAGGACTATAACAAATTAATAAGTTTTTGAAAGGTTTTGTGTTCACTAATTGCTTATTTTTATGAATCGATCCAAATAGACAGCTTGACAGCAGAATATTTTAAAAGTCAGAATAGATCGTTGAGCTACAGCAGTGGAGGCTTTACCGGCACTCAGACGAAGTAACGGTAAAGACAATTTACTGCTTGAAACTTTACAGCTCATACAAGGTCGATTGAAATGAAGAAACAAACATTTATTTGAAATCAGCTATATCAGCGTAATGCTCATTTCATTCAAGATCTAGGACAATAAGTTTATCAAAGCAATAAACACAGATAACGTTATCTAATCAGGGCAGACAATAATTGTTAAACTGATTCAGGAGTATACAAGTTTTTGCAGCGCCCTGCGGAAATCCCCTAAGAGCATACCCGAATTATTTCCACCAGTGCATTGAATGAACTCGAATGTAACCTCATGCAAAACTAAGTACATGGGCAATCTTTTGAAGTACCTAATGCGTTTGGTTATACCAAAACGAATGTGCCTTTAACATATGGTGTGTCAACGTCATCTATATTTAGCACAAATCGAATATAAAGGGTGGAATTTGAAACTTTTAATTGAGTCTGGTAAGATCACCTGCTCTGTTGGAGGCTTGCGGGGAACAATACAAGCAGACGGTGGCGCGTGCGGTACGGCGGCGGCCGCGAACCCGGATGCGGCCGGATGACGTAACACAGCCTTCGCTCCCTCCTCCCCCCCTTAC